TCCCATATCATATGAGGGCATAGTGCTTTGTATGTGACGAGAAGGCCACACTTGTTCACCGTTATTTGCGTCGACTGTTCGTGGACAGGCTATTCTGTATCCTTACTGGGACTGAAACAAGCACACTGAACTGTCACATTTTCCATCAGCTTAAATACATTAGTCGTCTAATAATTGCTCTGAAATAAGTAATAATGTTGTCACGACTCCCTATAGTGAATTAACACTATCTATTAAGCACCTGAAACGTATTCTTCGACATTAAAAAACTTTGCAACCGCCGATCATTATTTTGTGGCCATTACACATTGTTTTATTTACAACATTTTATTATACAATAGTACCACGGTGTTTCTCGAAGAGGGGGCCGCGACCAGTTGAAGGCTGTCAGCTAGGGAAGCGAACGGCTACGGCGCGAGAATTCGAACTTGGGGCAGAACGGTCAGAAGCCCACAGTGATGACTAACAACCGTCGGTCCAATCCGATTGACCAAATCCTCACTCCAAGCCTCATGATTACCATTACGAACGGCTGATGAGATCATTCCCACTGAAACAGAAAGTGAACCACTGCACCTTTCCCATCAAGATTTAGCCAGAATCCGCCATCCTATAGCCGCGACCCACAATCCTTTAGCCACGACCAATCATTCTTTAGGCTTGACGCACAACATTTAGCCATGCCGCTGCAGGCCAGTCAGGTCAAAAGTATCGAAATATAAAGACATCAAGAGATGTTGAAACATCTTATTATTATTTTTTCATACAAAGATTGGCATTGCAATGCTAACGGGACAAACGAGAAAGTGTGACGATCATATGCTGCCCAGTTGACCATGGTAATGGTATCAAATGCTGCACCGCAAATTGATTGGAGAAGGTTTAAACGAAGTGCCTGTATCGTCGAACCATGTGACACAGCCCCTATTACTGCCGCATTTTCAGTGAACCAGTTTCCAATGAACTAAAAAATATAAACAAAATAAAGTGGCAAACATTTTACCTGTTTGAATTCAACGAAGGCCTCTTCAAGTGGATCGAAAAATGGAGTATACGGTGGGAGAAAACGTATTTGATGATTAGTGTGTAATTGCGCTTCCACAGCCCTCCGAGGAACGGGTGCATTGTCAAAGATAAATACTACTGGAACATCAGGCTTCTCAGTATCAATAGATGCTGAGCAGCATGAGAGAAACTCATCAAAATATGCCATGTAATTTTTGCCTGACATTCACACTTCGAGATACCGGCCATAGATGAACGAGCTAATATGTTCAAGTTAGGTCCCTTACTTGACGGTAGAATTTGGATGGCTTTACAGTCTACTCTTGAGCGTTCATAGCTACGACAACACCATATACTCTAGTTGGTCTCATCAATATACAGCCTCAAAGTTGCGGTACCTTATCGTTGCAGCCGATTGGCATATAACGCTCGTTTGGATGTGATTGCATCTGATTTTCGTTCCAGTGGTTGAATAGTCAGCTTTTTAATTGAATAGTGATGCCCATCCAGCAGTCGATCAATGGATGACTTGCTGATTGTTTTGTTAGGGAAATCCTTCTCCATTCTTTCCTTCAACTACCTTAATGTGCTTGTGGGGTTTTGTCCACCACTTCACATAAAGGCCTGACAAGCTCGTCGTTGAACTTCGTATTGTAGGACCCAGGTGTGAATACCGTTTCCCAATCCGTAGCTGCAATAGCACGGTAGGTTTTGATCTTGATGTTGAGGTCTTTGGCGAAGTCCTTCAACTCATCTCCGCTTCGTGCGCATTCGATTATCCTGCATCGATCTTCAGCGCTGGTGATGTGGCATAACCTTTTTCTTCTCACCCACATTGATGCTCTTCATATTGTCAAGAGGTGATGCGTGCGGTGCCAAGTGAAGTATGGCGAGTACTTAAATAAACGGCCGCGGTGTAATTATATCGTCTGACTGCCTTCGGACGAGATATCAACCAATCGAAAACGAGTTTTGCCATGCAAGGATAAAATCTCACAAACAAGCAGTCCTGAAAGTAAAATCTGTGATGTACCAAACGGTACTCTGTTTTGCAATTCAAGTCATAGTCAAATATGAGAACTGGATATGACGAAACAAAATAAAGTTTTGGTTCCTTAGACCTTTAGATAAGTGGATACATTCAAATTGCGAGAGCAATACACAGAGTTATCGTAGATACACCCCCATTATTGTGAACAATTTATTTGTACTGCAACATTTAACACCAATACTATCACGGAAATTGCAACAGTAATAAAGGCTGTGCCACATGGTTCGACGATACAGGCACTTCGTTTAAACCTTCTCCAATCAATTTGCGGTGCAGCATTTGATACCATTACCATGGTCAACTGGGCAGCATATGATCGTCACACTTTCTCGTTTGTCCCGTTAGCATTGCAATGCCAATCTTTGTATGAAAAAATAATAATAAGATGTTTCAACATCTCTTGATGTCTTTATATTTCGATACTTTTGACCTGACTGGCCTGCAGCGGCATGGCTAAATGTTGTGCGTCAAGCCTAAAGAATGATTGGTCGTGGCTATGTGATTGCGGATTTTGGTTAAATCTTGATGGTAAAAGGTGTAAGACAATCGTACTGACGTTTAAAAACAACTAGGTCACATTAGATCAACTTTATCCGGACTCGAATTTGATGAAGTTACTGTATTCACCCATTTCTTTTGGAAAACCGCGATAGCTTTGTTTTTAATTTTAAAGCAGTCTCAGGTTTGTACGGTTGCTTCAGTCTAGAACTATGAATGTTGTCAGTTTCCTGTCTGTGGTTTATTTGATTTCTTGCTCTTAGTCTGAGGCACTCAAGTGATTTTGTTTTCAATGAACGAGGAAACAATTTTGTAGGTCATCAGTTTCGTGTGGTTCTAATTCAGATTAGCAGTTATACCTCGTCGAATTGATTAACTTAGCTATTACTAGTTCCGTTATGTTAACACGGAATGGAATTTCTAGTGACTAATGATGCGACCACAGTATTGCACTGCTGGCAAGTTTTATAAATTTCAATAATTGCAAATGATATTTTTCGTGAAAAACGTAAGTAGATAGATGTAAAATGCGAGACAACTTAGGATCAGTTCTCGCCGAACTAACAAATAGTCTCTCAAGAGTAGTCGGGTATATGCAGTTTCTCAAGCCTGTAAGCAGTGTTTTATGAAATAGTGCTACATACTTTGCAAACATCTGGGTTGAAATCTTCATTCCTGGGGCCCTCTTAGGTTGTCTAAGCTGACTCCTCGTGACACACACATTAGTGATGACGAACAATTCGCCAAACGTGGTATCGTGCCCACTGGTATTAGATCAGCCCTCAGAAAGCAACCTCTATTCTTTATCTCTTCCTGTCGTTTGATTGGTTATCGACTGGGAAATACGGTACAATGAACAAACATTTCCGATGCACTCACACCGCAGAAGGTCACTTCTGTTCACGTCGGTTAACCAAGGCTAACAATTCTCGTGAATCGGAGCAAAACTCACTTGATGAGACCTTGGGTGGTATAGATGTCTTGGAAAAGTTTGGTTTCTCTGCTCTAGGTTGTAGTCGTTAAGTGACCGCCAGTGGCTTCCAAAAGATCGACAAGGCAATTAAGCAATAGAAGAAGCCGTATAGTGTTCCACTAAAGCGAATATCGTATAAATCGACAAGATTTATTTGCTCCTCGGACGTGTTCCCTCTTGGGAGGGACATGCAGAAAATAGCACAAACCGTGTTTCTAACAGGAAGATTATCGTCACCCACCAAACCTTCGAAAGTTCCAAGTGAGATTAATGGTGCCCGTCACGTTTAAACTGGGACTCGAAACAAACGTTCATCAGTGGTTCACCTTATCAGAAGAATCTATTACCGGTTGTCTCCCGCTTTGTTTTCTCACGTATACAGCTAGCTTCTTTTCCGATTTCTACACAATTCTAGTGCAGATTTCGCAGTAGTTGAGCAGCTAGAATTTCACTCCACACTCGGACGGTTTTCGCGTACAGCGGTCTCTTCAACTTTATTTGTTAGATGGTGCTGGTCTTCAAAGGCTGACGCTTTGTCGTTGAGTTTTGGGGGCAAAACACCTACTATTCTTTGTCCGTCTGTAATTAGGGGTAAGCTGACCATTTACCTTAGAAGAGAATAATCGATGGCCAACTTGAATTTCTTTGGTCCTAACTAGTTTTGCTGTTGGCCTCATTTCTTAAAATCACGTGAACTTTCTTCCTCTCTACCACAAACTGAGATGCAATCCTCTTCCTGGAAACTCCATTCTTTCACTTTATCACTATTGTTCTAGAAGGTTTTCCTCGTTAACCTCCCCAATACGATTTATGGACGCTTAACAGCCTTACAGCCGGGGTATGTAATTTGCAGCGATGATAATAAGAGAATCCAACAGGCTTACAATCCTGTCTGGCTTGAAAGCTTTCCCGCTTTCTGCAAGCGAATTTAGAGTCACAGGTTGTGGAACATAAACGATTAGTTAGTCATTTCGCTGAGAATGAGAATGAAATAAGTGGACATCGCATCAGAGTCTGAAGTGTTTACCATTTGTTGAACCGTGTTTGTTCATTTGTAAGCTATTTCATTTTAAATACAAGCCAGTGATTTGAGGGCATATATTATCTCCCCGTTGGCGGATAGCTCAGTCATGTTTGCAGGCAGCCTTGGTGTGGAACAAAAGCTTGAGACAAAGGAATCTCGGGCGACAAGACAGTCGATCATTGGAGTGGGTCGACAGATGGGAGATGAATCTTGTCAGTGTCATTTAAGCCTCAAGGCGGGGCTGACCACATCAGTTGAAACAATGCGTTGTTGTAAATGAGTGGAAATAAAAGACTGCAATTGATATATCCTTTGTTTTTCGCCAATGAAACGAAATTGTTCGAGGGCGGAAGAGATTTCTCACTAGAGCTAATGGGAGGGATTCGAGGAAATGTAAACGTAAAGTGCTTGTTTACAATTAACGAAATCTTTTTCACCTTATTTTTCAGTATTTGGAAAACTCTTCCAGAAGCGTAAGAAGTCCAAGGAACCAAAAGGTAAGCATTTGTTGTGCAACGGCAGAAACAACCCCGTGGATTTTTATACGGATTTCATTTTATACCATATTCGAGTGTTCTTTCAAGCAAATCTAAATGTTCAATAAGGAAATATAGTACGATTTTGTTGTAAAACGTTTTCCGACTTCAGTGACGATTTCGCTGAATCGGTGGTAACTTATCACATCAAACCTGAATCTCATTTAGATGGTTAACAAAGCATTTTGATGAGAATCACCTGTAAAAGGAGGTCAGGGGCTCATTTGAGACAGCTTAATTAATTAACCGTTCAAAGGACTACTTATGAAGCCATTTATTGTCTCCAACGGATAAATTTTCAATTTGGCATTGTTTGTTTACATGATTTAGTTAGAAATTCTGTGAAATACTCATGGTTCGGTAGGCAAACCCAGAGTACCGAAAATTGTGCATAAATGGAGACGCTCTTCGAAGTGCAAAAACCAAATCATTTGGACGAAAAATTGCGCCCGAATCCAAAATAAAATAAACTTTTAATAATAGATTTACGTCTTTGACATAGAGCAGTTCAAATGATGATTAGTCTGCGTGTGAACTCTACAATTGTGAGAGCTAGCAAACTTCCTCCTTGTTTCTGGGATTTCGATGGGACTGGGAACCGCAGAATCAGTCCGCATTGCTCGAAGTCATGAGTGAACAAATCGCGATCAGCTGGTCATTGAAAAGTAGGTGATCCTACTATGAACTCTTCTGAAAGTTAAAATGATGAACCAGGACAGCGTAGAACAACAAACAGAACAAACTGAACGATCTGCCCGGGTGTATTTTATCTGCAGTGGACGGAATCATGATTACCTAGCTTGACCTCATCGTGGTATCACATATTCCCGAAGATACTTTCACGGTTAGGACCGGGAATTTTCGAAATACTGAAATTACTAATTTGATGGGATTTTGAGGTTTCACATAATTTCTTCTACAGTTAGGTATATACTGCAGCAGTTTACAATCTCGACCGGTGTTGATCTGGGAGTATATTTCGCGCCCACCAGTTGTGTGGTACGAGACTGGAAACTAATGCACAGCCTATAAATACCGTAGATGACAAAGAATTCCTGATTCGCTGTTGATCAATACTACGTCTGAAGTGGGAGATTTTTATCCGGTTCTCCACTCCAAACTTCGAAGTCATCTTTACCGGTTCGTACTATTTAAATGACTCGTAAAATGTTGAATTCACCCTAACCTTGTAAGTCGCGGTCTTTGGTGTAACATACGCCGATTGTTAGACTACGAATAAGAGTTTCTATCAGGCATTTGGTCAACCGAGCTGCAAGATTACGACATTTTTCAGAATCACCAGAATTAGTTTGCATAGTCCGCAAGACATTTTTCACATTTGATAATGAGATACCAGATTTTGCCCGAATAACCGAGATATGCCGATTACAGTGTTTTCGTAACCTTAGGTTCTGTGAATACAGACCGACTGAATTGGCTGAAAAAGACGATATTCAGTCAGCATGGTAGACGCAAATGAAATCGAAGCAATCCCATATTGTTGTTGCATTAGACAGTCAATTGATTTGGAGCGTACGATTCAGTTTTCATTCACTTAAAATACTCATGAGCAAAAAAATAATAACAGTTTTTTGCCCAGTACCACCATAGTTTTGTAATTTTTGCTGATCCTCTTTCTAGTGGTATCAAAAAAACATGGAAAGAATAGTGCCGGTGAAAAGGAGATTGTCGGTATGTTTATTGACATTGCCCTGTTAGGTCACCTCTCTCAGATATTCTTTTGTCGAGTAATCATAAATGTAGTGAGAATATGATTATTCAGGCGGTATCAACGTTACGATTCCCGTGCTAGCTCGATGAATGTGCACAGCTGATGATTCACAAAACTGACCGAACAACTGCGCAATGTTTTCATTTTTTTCACCGGTGTCTTGAGTGTTGTTACTGCACAAAGAACCATATTATATAGTAAAGAAATCTCCCTAGTGAAATACAGACGTTTCTATGAAGCCAGTGTGAAAGCACGAATCCATTCTCATAAGTTGTCTCCAAGACAATATTCATCCTCATTCCTATACATTTTTGGTAACAAATACGATTTGGGAAGCAGTAGCTGAAACGGGATGTGTTGTGCAGCCGGTGCAAAATCCTCAAACTTACGTTGAACAACTACCCACGGATCAGTTATTTGGGTTATTATGCAAATAGTCCGATCAGTTAGTTCTCAACGTGATCATCTGGAGTGAGGATGGCCCAGAAAAGATCCATTTCTTGCAAGAGCTGTTTTTGAGCTTATAAGGCGAGATCACGTAGAAGAATACCTACAGATCTAGGGGCGTTTCACCGGTGTCCATTGATTGTCATAAGTAGAATTTCACGTAGGACTTCGAAAAATTCACTGACTGACTGGACTCAATAAGGCATGAATAAGAAACGCATGCGATTGCTTTACAGAGTCCGGAGTTCGAGAAAGCCTCATTGTGATAGTTTTCCTGGGTCGGTAATCGCTGAGGTTGGCATTTAGGTCGCAAAAGTTTCATCACCAGCCAAGGTAACATCATCCATGATGTAACTTCGAATGATTGACTAACGAACTCCGCCAAAAGAATACCACTGTGGATGATTGAAAGGCCACTGCTCACATCACTAAGGTATTGTTTCTGAGGGTCAGGAAAAATCGTTTGGAACAGTAAAGCGAATAAGAAGCGCGTATTAAAAGACGAACTGAATAGGTAGTCCAAAACTGTTTTCCCACTGAGTTCTGAATATCACTTGGCTATCGTGGGCTATAACGAAGTTCATTCCCAAATACTTGACGGACCTCAAATATAGACGTGGATTTTGAATTGACGAAAACAGGGTCCGTTGGGAAGGGTGAAAGTGAGTTGCCGGAAACACATCCATGAGATTCACTATTAGACTAAAGCAAGCGAACAAATGCTCTATTTGAGATAGATCCCCAAGATCTCACAAACAGAGGGGTCATAAATGGTTTATTATAGGACAACACCACCAATCTATTTAAAGTGAAGAAAAAAAGGATGGGGTACTGAATCAAAAGATGTGGAATAGGTAAAAAACACACAAAGGGCTGATCGCGTAGATCACTATTTGTATTTTGCAATGAAGTTAAATGAGAAAGCAAAATCATCAGAGCGGGAAGTTTTGGGCCTGCAGGCACATGGATAAGGGACAGGAAGTAAGTTCAGTTGGGCTTGAGGAATCCTAACTACAGCTATCTCAGCAATTTCTAATACAGCTGACGTGGGAGCTGTCGTATAAAAAGGCTTTTCTCTGTCCGTTGTATTGTTGCTTTGGAAATTGAAATAGTGGTGACTGGTAGCCAAAAGCCAGGGATTCATTCAAAAAAGAAGCCGGGAAATGAGGCTCGAATGTGAACGAAATTTAGAAGCCCCAACACAAAAAAGAAAATTTTATCTACCATACTTCTTACAGACACGAAGCATTATATTCGCTGATGTGTTTCTTCAGTGGCAAATTAAATATATTGACTACTACTGCACACATTTTTGTAGATCTTTCCCAGAACCATTGCATCAACTCATCCGGTAAATGCATGGGGAAATCAATTCGCGGGAACATTTTGTAATAAAGGGAAGCCAATCTGTGTAGATCTGTTATTCAGTGCTGTTTAAACCAAAGTTGAGTTTCATCTTATTACAAGTGGCGTAGCACTTTTAATGTCGATATACCGAGCTCTCTACGTTGAAATAGATTGAGTTAAGTGTATGTGTGTGTTATACACCCGAGGATGGATATTTAGCAACTGAATAACCTCTTCGAAATACGGAATCAAAGTACATACCAGAAGCAAATTCCAATGTTGTCTCATTAATTAATTTATTTCTGCTTTGTGATAGCTTCTGGGTTTGTAGGGAAATGGGTGGGATGCGGTACCATGGCGTTTTTTGTACGAAGCTGACAGAACTGAACTATCAAACCGGCGATTTAGAACGAACAATCGGCAACAGTGACCGAGATTTGGAGTGCATGGGAATCAAATGAGGATTCGAAGTGTCAGGTGGGGTGGTGCGGCGATAGACAGTGGACTGTTGTCCACAAGCAACCTCGCACCTAGCACCTCCTAGGTGACGAATTCTTTATTACCCTCGACCATAATTGGCCGATGTCAAAATAAATCAAGCAAATGTTTTGTACTCCGCGTGAGTATCAACCTTAAGCTGATTATCATTATTTTCAAATATGAAATTCGTTCTCCGTGATTACGCTTATTTTGAGGGTAATTTGAAATTACGTAAATTTTATGGGTCGGGCCTATTTGTCCACTCAGTATCTGAGTCTCCCCAACGGCAGCAAAGAAGGCCTTCGAGTGCGCTAGTAGTGGGTAAGTTTTAACATGGTATTTATGGTTCTTCGAACATCAAAAACAATGCGGCTAATATGCGTGACTTTTAATTTAACGTGAGCCCGTCAGAGAAAGGTTTTTATTTTTGCTTGAACTTCCGTTTGCAGTGAATTTCTTGACTTTTCACTGTTTTCGGCAAAACTGTGAAGTGTGGCTCCCTGTGACTTTTTTCCTTTTTCGTTTCGACATATCTGACCATTCACCATTCGAGGCTGATGTGTTCGCTTGTATATATGTATATAACTGGTAGTAGGTAAAGACAAGCAGTTTTGAGCTGATGCCCTGTAATTTATTGGTGATCTTCCGTACAGAATTCAAGATTTGATAGTGGTTCGTTGTATAAGGAATAGGATAACACACTGGGTTTCCAGGCTGTAAAAGTGGGCTTTTTGATTACCCATGACGATGAAAATGACAAGCTTTCGCCTCTTGAAGTTACTCTGATGGCAATGGTAAACATGTGGTGATGTCTGCCAAAATGCGCATCAAAGTCCCTACCATTCCAAACTGCTAAATTATCGCTACCATTTTCATTGCAGAAAACATGCTGATTGTACTGCTTGTTTCTTCCTGTAATGCATTAGAACCAGACGTCATACCTCTTGTATCTTGGTTTCAGTTAGTTGTAGCAAGTTTATTGAATTTGTAATGCTATTGCCCGTTTGGTTCCTTTGAATCCGTGATACTAAAATCTGGCTTGGAAATGGTCAGTGAACAGGACAAATCTCAGCTTGACGAAAAAAGGGTTACTTTTGAAATCATTTGATGTATAGTTTAAAACATCTCCTATAAAACAATAAAAGTGATAGCACTTGGTACATCTAAAACTTTGACTTGCGACAAGTCTTACCCCACTAAATCCGGTGTGCCTTCGAAATAAAACCCTCGTTTCTCTTCCACCGATATAAAAATACCATTTTATCATTTCAGAACACCACCACTGAATTCCCGGCAAACCAAAATGTTGGATTTCATTTCAGTGATGGCAAAGCTTGAAGAACCATTTTTTTTTCAGCTAGCCTAATTGTTTTTAAAGTTGTTCGGTTGTCGTAAGTAAAAAATCTACCATCAAAATGAGTCCAATGCTTGCAAACAACCCTGTTCACGAGTTGCCTTTCATCATCACTGCTGGTATTTTTTTCAAATCTTGATCAGTTTTTCTTCTCCTTTTCCGATAATTAAATTCCACCTCTTCTAGTGAACTCAAAGAAACGAGGAAAAAGTCAGTCCACTGAAAGAGAAATTGTTGGTACGTGCAGCTTTGCATCATCGTTTTAATTTTTTATCAATGTGACTGATGTTTGAGAGAAACATTCAAATCTAAATATGGCCAGCGCTTGTGGCACATTTCGTATTCCTCATGTGTCCAGTCGTGCAGGTTAAGAAACAACACAAGACCCCGAATCAGTCAATGACGTATATTGTCTGGGCTAGGCAACAGTCAAATGTCTCTGGTAAACGCGAATGTAAGCACTGGATTCAAAGTACTTGTGTGTGTGTGTGTTCCTGGGAGATTCTGACTGGGTAGTCGATTGCTTGAGTTGGGCACAACCAGATTAGAGCGGAAAAAACCCTGTGTGCGTAAGTACGGTTGATTGGCGGTTCTTGAGTGGACAATCTGACGTGGTTATGAAATTAATCGTGGACTATAAATGAGATGAATAAAAGTGACAATGGGATAATTGTGATTGTGGTAAAATTCGATATCCACACTACAAACTGCGCAAAAGTAGACTCGTATTTTTTCCTAAACCTCAAGAGTGGTAATAAACTAAATCTCTATTTCAACATTTTTCTTACGTAACAGGCTGCATAATGTCAACCGTAGTCAAACGAATAACACCGTACGCGGGAGGTTGTGATAGAGGATTCAAGTCTGTGTTCTTCCGGTTTCAATATTTTCTTTTACTGTCCACCATCGGTTAATATTCCATTGCTAAGACTGTCGTGTACTTAATTGGCCGGCAATGCAGAAGGCAAGCTTGTGAAATTACATAAAGCGTATAGCTGTTTCTCCGCTGCAATTCATGTATTTCGAGTGTTACACATAGTTGAGTTTCTTAATCCTCCACTAAGCGCCAACAAAACCAAGTGTGTGCTAGGACGCTTTCCTAGGAAGGCAACGCAGTTTCCCATTTATCCGAGATTGTAACGAAACCAATAAAAGCACGGCACATTCACTGGATAGTGAAATCCGGGAGAGTACTTGGACTAACAAAATGGAAAATATCGTTTAAACTTCTGCATCTAAAAGTCCTCGCCATATACCGGAGTCGAACCAGTGACCTTCCCCTCACTGAGCATTCATTCTACCGGCTGAAATGACCAACGATAGTAGTCCCGTGATCAAAACCAGTGCAACGGCTGAGCCTCTTTAGAACAACCGTCGAGCATTTTGTGGCGTTCACGCAAGTCTTATGCATCCGTTTAACCGTACCACGTCAGCTCATTTAGTAGAACAACTGACCGGTAGGAAGACGGTAGCCATTTTCACTGCAGTTCACCTCGAGAACTTTTGGAATGCAAAGAATTCAAGCAGATATTCCAGTACCATCAGTTAGTACTACAAGTATTTAAATACTGATTAAACAATACGACTGCCTGCTTTTGCGTGAATTAGAAGTGGATAACCGCTTGAAAATATTGATGCATCAACACACGAGAGTAAAGTTCACCAAATCTAGAAAGCTGCAATCTGCAAAACAACTGAACTTGAAGCCCTAGCTGAAGATCGATTTAACTCCCTGAACTCACTCCAAATTTGTGTTCTCCACTACCTTTTCGCGCCACAGCTTCTCGTTCGATGAACCACACATCGCACACTGGCCCTACGCGAGCACTGACTAGTGTGTGTAGTGATTTTGTCCCATGACATTTGACCCACATTTTCCACAGACATTTAGTTGACTTGATCGCTTTAACCTCAGGCTATTCTGAATTTGCTTGCTCTTGGCCGACTCTAATTCACGGGGCGATTACCACCGAGGTTTGTAAGGTTTCTGTCCACTATTTACGATTGTTTATAAAGAACGGTAATGAAAACCATAATTGGACATTTGGGTTGTATTATGCGTATCTCAAGGACTACTGAAAATTCGTTATAAAATCGCTTACATACTTCTCATTGTCTTACTGGTAATAATATTTTGCGCAAATATATTATGTGATATGATACGGCGATAATACCCCAAAGCCGTTTATGTGAAAATCTGATCATTCTTTTTGCCTTTCAGTTCCACCGAATTCTCATGCTCGAAAAACCGCATCACCGGCAAAACAGACATTGTTCTCCTCCTCGACCACATCGTCGTCAACTCACCGTGTGGTTATTGTGCGGGAATTCGAGGACAAAAATAGGTCGAAAGGCGGAGTTTTCAAAAAGAAGCCCTAGGAGCAGAGAGAGAAAAGAGACGCCCAATCTGACTACTTCTCCCCCGGCCACCACTGTGGCTGCGAGCAAACGTTTGTCGAACGAACCAACCGAGGAAACATATACGAACAAAGCATTACAATTTAGTATTATTTCTAAGGAAGTTAGTATGTTGATAGATGATGCTCCCGAATTTGACAATTCTCAGGACACGTCGTCAGAAAACATCTGGAAAGCCTCTCAACTAGTTCGGTGATCGCACTCCTTCCCAGCCCTCATTTTTCTACCAAACTCACTTCGCTCTCATTCGGCCAAATTTATTCGTTCTGTCTTCAAACCTAATTGTAAAGGTATGGCTACCGAAAGCCTCAAGCAAGCCCTCCATTATATAAACCTCATTTCGTCGAACACATTTCGCTACTACTTCGTTTCATCTTGTATACTTTTCGTGTATTTCTTCCCCGATAGTGTAAGTATTTTTTTCCTAAATGCAACTGAAATACAAAGAAAGACTGTACAATGATCTTAATTTAAACAGACACTGCAAAACAGCTGATTTTACTTGATTACCTTAGTGTTGAACTCTATAATGAATAATACATAATCCTCGTTGAACATGGCGTCACCTGATTTGTAGTTGGTAATACAATCTTCCGGTACTGGTGCTCGGCTTGGTTTAGACGCTGTCGGCCGAGATCATATTGGTAGTATATAGCCTGTTTTACCACCACTTCATGAGATCTCATGCTGAATTTCAGAGTTGCGATGGCCTACTGCTCCAGATAGTGTAATCATAATAAGATTCCCTGGTATTTCCTTTCCGGTGCATTTAGTTTCAAGTATGACATGTGGAAGAGAAAATCACAAAATGCGTGGCATCATCAAGCGTTTGCTTTTGTTTATGACATATCTGTCTCACTGTTGTCATTCCCCTACTTCGGAATGATCTGAAGAGGCGGTGTGCGAGCTTCATTGCTTTGATTCTTCTTGCAAATCTGTCGTGAGAGTGTCATACATCTTAAAATGCAATAATCTCAAATACCACGTTTTCAGTAGAGATTTTAACTAGCCAATGTTCCGGCCGTCGAGGGTAAACTATCTAAAGGTACGTTTTTTCAGTCAGAAAGTCCTCGGTTAGTTGTCACAAGTCAAAGATATTCTAATCTGCGTACGTTTGTGCGAGCATGTGCACCCGTTGTATAAGAGCGAACCATTTTCAAAAGTTTACTGCCAGCATTCATCGAAAAAGTACAGGCACAGAAATATTTTTATACAGTGAATCAGCTCATCCCAAATGTACAAGACTAGCATTTGCTCTTTCTTAATTAAGCAGAGCCCAAAGGCCCTTTATTGACGACTTTAGTAAATGTAACTCTTAAAAGACGTCTTCCAAAACAACCACTATCCACTACATCTAGGTAAACAGTAAGCGTGAAAGAGAAATCAACAAGAAAAAGAGAAAAAAGCGACCGGTTTCCATCGGCACTCCTTATCGGTCTGGGACTTCGGATGCAATCAGAAAAGTTCTTTAAGATTATCATTTCCGCACTTTATTTCTAACTGAAAATACCTTGAAACGCCACCTTGCGAAAGCCAAGGATACACTTCACTTACAAGACCGGAGCAACGGCATTTACAGGATAGAAAAACTAGAAGGCCGTTGAAGACCAGAATCACGGAGACGTGAGCAAACAGCTTTAGTGGAACTTGAGCGAGACTCAGCCATCGCACTTCATTTTATGGCCGAAGGACACTAAGTCGACTATGACGACGCCAAAGTTCTCCGACTTGGATTACCACGGACACCCAGAGCCTGTAGACCAAAGCCTAGGCAATCAGCCCCCACCCTATGTGCAATAAAAGGTACAGGGGGTGGGGTATCAGCTATCTGGACAGCACTATTCTCGTTGAGGTGGAGTCCAAAGTACTGTGAGCCAAGCAAAGCATCATCAAACTAACACACTACTCGCGAGTAACTGTAAGGTATACACGAAAAAACAAATACCCGGATGAATGCAATTTCGCTTTGGCCTCATGACCTCGAGATATGTGACACCGACAATGGGAAGAAGTGAAACCGGCACCCAATTTCTCGGGTCACCGCACACTGAAACAATGCACATGCTCTCTCTCACACACAGAAGTGCTCTCTCCCTCTCTGTGCCACAGAGAGATTTGAAAAGTCGTCGGCTGGTGATGACTACCTCTGGTTGCAAAATTGGCCTTGAAGACTATCCGCGGCAGCCAAAACGTCGGCCAAGTAAAATCTCTACCGAATACGCTGTGTTTTGACATTGAGGCATTCTACAATACACTCCTAACCGCTTTCGGGCTTAACATATACATTATATATATATATATATATATATATATATATATATATATATATATATATATATATATATATATATATATATATATATATAATGTTGCCGCTCATCATCATCTTCTGCCCACTGGTCCTCATACTTGTACACTCCGATGTTATATTTCCACTAGAATCTAATTTGAATCGTCTGGAGTGTGAATGGATACTCTTCATTGAAGAGCCCACAAATGAATTACAATTGTGATTTCTCATAGTTATTCGCGTCCGGGTCACTGCTAACCCAACGAACAATGAGGCTGCGTGTGCAAGCTCTCATACTGATAGCAAGTAGTTTGGGTTTTTCTACTAACATGCACATATGCAAATATAGGATAATCTTGTGTTTACCTACTCGTTTTCTACTACATTCTTCCTGCCTACATTTTGAGAACGTGTCCGACTACCCGTATAGCATACTGTAGGGCTTCTTTGCCCTGGCGCACTCTGCGCTAACAACTAAATACGGACGAGCATCCTTTTCGATGTCCTATATATTTCGGACTCTTACTTTGATACTCTATGCTTGTTTTTACTTTCTCACTACTTTTCTACTTTCCTTGGTTTTTCCTGTCCCTCTGAGGTTATTACATCTTGAACTTGAAGTGAGTACTGTAGACAGATATTCATTGCTACTCTCCCTTGTATTCTTCAATTATTTTGACAGATGCGATTCCAGTCTAATGCTACCTGAAGAACATGCAGCGATGCGTGTCTCTCGATCACTTCCGGTTGCCTCGGTTGTCTAACCTCTTCAGCAAAGATGGATAGTTCGCAAGTTGCCGCCGTAAAAAATGTGCTTTATTGTTTTCGACGAGGACGGTTCTGCAAGGAGTCATGCTATCACTCAGTTTCGCTGAATGGTCCGTCAAGTACCCGATTTGTATGATGCTCCTGGCGTGAGGATTTTTATTGTCCTTTTCAACGTCCGTATAAAAATTTCTTAGAGTTATGCATCAGAGTAAGACTTATTGGCTGGTCCACGTTACTGCATGACTCGTTTGCATCTACCAATCCCAACTTGACGTGATCGAATCATTTGTATACTATGAAAATGTGACGAAATACACGAGCTGGTCCACATGATCTAACAACTGGTCATGCATACCGCACATACCGCCTGCCTGTTCGCTTGAAGAGAGCGAGACCTGTTTGATTGGTGGAGAGATGATCTGGTCACGCGAAAGCTGCACGCATGAAATTGTGGAGCTGGTGCTTTGACCCCACAATTTTCAGAAGACATTGTGATCCGCTCGCAAAGTACTTGTTGATAGATCAAGGTTAGCTCCTCAGTATATGGTCAAGCAAGTACCGTTTTGACTGACTCGAGCGTAAAATAATTAAATGGACGCATTCGATTAAATCACCGAAACAGCCCTCCTGTGTCGTGAAAATTCACGCACATTCACAGAAATACACGAAACCACCACCGCGGTTAAAAACATGAATCATATTCCTTTTCTGACCGTGATCACACCTGCTCAAGCGCACAGAATCTCTGACGGATCAGCGCTGAAACGGGCACAGATGTACCAACTATTTTCGATCCTCGCTTGCATAAACACGAGCTGACTGGAATGTGTTGAGTCATAAGGCGCCGGTTTCAGTCACTGACCAATGTTTAGATGCCGTATATTAGTCGGCAAATCCAAGCTGAGGTAAATTCGCGGTGATAAATGCAACATTCTCAAACCTCTCATGTGCATGATGCACAAACGGACACGAAATATTTGTGCTTTTGCGCCGAGCATGCACCCGCCATAAGTAGCGCTCTAAAGAAGAGGATCGAATGAACAGGTTAACGCTGAAGATGAAGTGAGAGCTAATTCATTCAGTACCCATGGTGGCAACTCATTTGGACCACTGGTTTTATCACATTTGCCCGCGATTAGCTCCACAATTTATTCCAAGGAATAAATCAACTAGAAGCGAGTCGCTACTCAGCCTTCTTGCAACTCCGATGCGAAGGGTAGAAACCCTAATCTTGGCAACATATAGTTTGAGCTGGCTTGAATTTCACACCTCATCAGATCCTTTCCACACTCAGCTATCTCCTCATCGTAATCGACATTTTCTAAGGCTAACACCTCGACATCTCCCATTTGTGTGATGCTTTCGCCTGATAAGTAAATCACAAATAGCTGCGGGGATCAGCTTTCACAAGAAAGCCGTGTGTCTTATTGGCTCTCGTCAGGGTCAGAAATGTTCTTTGATATTCATCTTTCCAAAGGGCAGTAAAGCTTTCCAAATAATTTGTGCTTCTTCACATGAAACTGCTGGGGCTTGACTATTCAATAGTCTTGAGCTAAATCTGTGACGTTTTCGGAGTCTTCACAACTACCCGGAGTTGGCGCGAAATCGCTGTGCTCCATATTACGGGCCACTTAGACCGCTTTATCTCATACCAACATTCATTTGACAGTCATATATTTCCTGGATCGGTGAGAAGCGATTTGTTCACAGTAGTGTAGAAATCAGTAAAGCAAATGAGGGGTGCATTCTAAATGTGTCGCTGGTTTGAATTTCATTGGTCCCCCTAGCTTTGATTCTGGCCTCGTTTCTCACAATCAGGTGGACTTACGCTCTCCCTGCACCGAGCTGGGAAGCAACCCTTTTCACGAAAACTCTCTTCCTTATCACTAAGAATGTCTTCCTC